TATTTTAAAAAGATCTACTTTTAGCAACTTTCCAGTATATAATACTGTACTATCTATAATAATAAAAGCATGATATGCAAATTAGACTGGACAGCTGAACGACCTTCTGGATGTCCTTCCGGACGAAGCCAGGGATTCGAGGGCCGAGCCCCTTGCACAGATTTCGTGCATCAGGCCTCTAGTTAAGTATAAGCACCATGATATAAATCAGATCCTTAGAATTTATTCTTCTTAACTGAAAGTTTATATCCTTTCACCTACATCTCCCCATTTCCAGCCCCTGGCAACCACCATTCTACTCTGTTACTATGATTATTATTAAAAATTAAAAAAAATTGCTCACGTATGAATGACTTTTTTCCCTCTTTTTTTTTGTTTTGTTTATTAATCCTCACCTGAGGATATTTTTTCCACTGTTTTTCAGAGGGAGTCAAGGGAGGGAGGGACACACACACACACACACACACACACACAACACAGACCGGTTGCCTACCTCACAGAACCCACAACCCAGGCACCTGCCCCTGACAGGGAATTGAACCTGTGACCCTTGGGGCGCGGCTGCCGTTCTAACCACTGGCTAGTCTTTTTCTGTCTAATTGCACCTAGTACAAGGCCTTCCAGTTCCATCCATGTCGCAAATGGTAGGATTTCCTTTTTTATGGCTGAATAATACTCCATTGTGTGTGTGTGGGCCCAGAAGCAAGAGAAGCACATGCGCATGCGTGGACTGAGGGCGGAAGCTGAAAAGGACGAGGGGGGCAGCATTGGCTGCTAGTCACGTGGGAGTCTCGGAGAGGCGGGGCGGGGAGAGCGTGGCGCATGCGCAGAGGAACCCAGGTGCGTGGAGCGAGCCTGCCTCGAGGCCTAAAGGGGCCCGAGAGCCTGAAGGGGCCCGAGAGCGTCACTAGACTTCTCAGTGGAAGCTTCTTGATTGACCCTCGTTGTCGCCTAACTGACGGGACCGGAGAGGCCAGGCCGCCAGGCCAGGGTGAGGACGACTTGGCCCGCCCTCGGGAGCCCGGAAACGCTCCTAGATTTGGGGGGTGTGGGGCCGGGCGCCACCCCGCGGGGGTGTAACAGGCCGGGCCTCCTGGCCGCCCCGGCGGCGTCTGCGGAACTGAGGGATCAGAGAGGCCGCAGAGGTGCCTCCTTTTTCCTCCGTCGGAGCCCGGAAAGCTGGCTGTAGCCCCTGTGCTCATCGAATCTGACTGTGAGCGACGCCAAGGCCCGGCCTTCACAGGCCTCGGCCATGACGCCGTGCCCATGGGTGAAACCCAGGGGTTCAAGTTCGGGGACAGCGGACACTGGGTCCCACCCCGCCACAGGCCTGTCAGGGACCAACAGCCACTTCCTGTGCCTTGAGGAACCCGGACGGCAGCTCCTTCCTTTCCTCTCCCGAGGCAAACGGGCATTTCGGGGAGACCGAGCACTGCCCAGAGGGCGCGGGCCTGGGGAGCGGTGGCGGCGGGGACACGGTGTGGAGTCTCCGGGTTGGGCCGCACCCCGACTCTCCAGCGCCGGGAAACCAGGGGGTTTATAGGTGTCACGGTGGCCCGTTCACAGAATCTCCGTTTGCCAAAACGCGGTTCTGCCCTGAAAAACGAGATTGCCAGTTTACCAACCCCCACCCCCAAACTGTTTTAAGGAATACGATTTTTAAGATATATGTATTTTATTGATTTTTTACAGAGCGGAAGGGCGAGGGATAGAGAGTTAGAAACAACGATGAGAGAGAAGCATCGATCAGCTGCTTCCTGCACGCCCCCCACTGGGGATGTGCCCGCAACCAAGGTACATGCCCTTGACCGGAATCGAACCCGGGACCCTTCAGTCCGCAGGCCGACGCTCTATCCACTGAGCCAAACCGGTTAAGGAAGGAATACGATTTTTTAAAAAATATATGTTTTGTTGATTTCAGAGAGGAAGGGAGAGGAAGAGAGAGAGAAGGAAACATCAATGATGAGAGAGAATCACTGATCAGCTGCCTCCTGAACGATCCACACTGGGGATGGAGCTTCCAACCTGGGCATGTGCCCTGACCGGGAATGGAACCGTGATTTCCTGGTTCGTAGGTTGATGCTCAACCACTGAGCCATGCCGGCTGGGCTGGCCATTTTTCTTTGTATATTTTTTAAAACATTCTCAATCATGAAATAGAATATACATCCACAAAGGTGCCTGGAACATGTAAGCAGAGTTTCAAATGATTAATTATAAAGTTTATATATGTGTAACTGACACCCAGATAAAGAAATAGTACATTTCCATGACTCAAAAAGATTTCCCATTATCAGCTCTCAATCAGTACCCCATCTTCCCCCACAGCAGCGGTTCTCGTCCTGTATGTGGGTCACAACCCCTTTGGCGGTCGAACGACCCTTTCACAGGGGTCACCTAAGACCATCCTGCATATCAGATATTTACATTACGATTCATGACAGTAGCAACATTACAGTTATGAAGTAGCAACGAAAATAATTTTATGGTTGGGTCACAACATGAGGAACTGTATTGAAAGGGCCAGAAGGTTGAGAACCACTGCCCTACAGTATCCTTTCTTTCCTTTTAAAGGTACCTTTTAATCTGACTTTTGTGATAATCATTCACTTTATACTTTTATCATGTATATATGCATCCCTAAACTATATAATTTTGCTTCATTTTGAACTTAGAAATATGAAGTCACTGTGTTGAATATTTTATGTCGTGCTTCTTTTTCTTTTTTAAAGATTTTTAGAGAGAGTGGAAGGGAGAGAGAGAGAAACATTGATGTGAGAGTGAACATTGATTGGCTGTCTCCCGACTGGGAATTGAACCAACCTTTTGGTGCACAGGACGACTCCCAACCAACTAAGCCAAACTGGCAGGGCTGTGTCATGCTTCTTTTTCTCAAACCTTGTGAGATTAATTTATGACGTTGAAAGTAGTTGTAGTGCTTTTGTTTTCTTTACATATGTACAGTCTTCTTTTGTTTGGATATTCTACAGTTCATTAATTTGATTATATATACATATATATTTTTTAAATGTTTATTTAGTGGAACTTTGAGGTGTTTCTTATTGATTTTTTTTTTTAAGAGAGAGGAAGGGAAAGGGAAAGAGAGATAGAAACATCGATGAGAGAGAAACATCATGGATCAGCTGCCTCCCACACGCCCCACACTGGGAATTGAGCCTGCAATCTGGGCATGTGCCCTGACCAAGAATTGAACTGTGACCTCCTGGTTCATAGGTTGACTCTCAACTACTGAGCCACACTGGCTGGGCTGATTTTTCTTTTTTAGCTCATTGATGTGATGGATTACATTAATTGATTTCTTAAAAAAATATATTTTATTGATTTTTTACAGAGAGGAAGGGAGAGGGATAGAGAGTTAGAAACATCCATGAGAGAGAAACATCGATCAGCTGCCTCCTGACCTCCCACCGGGGATGTGCCGGCAACCAAGGTACATGCCCTTGACCAGAATCGAACCTGGGATCTTTTAGTCCGCAGGCCGACGCTCTATCCACTGAGCCAAACCAGTCAGGGCACATTAATTGATTTTTGAATGTTGAACCAATCTTGCATACTTGGGATAAATCCCACTTGATAATGGTATATCATTCTTTATATACATTGTTGATTAGGTTTGCTAATATTTCGTTTAGGATTTTTATGTTTAGGATTTTTATAGCTCTGTTAATGAGAGATATTGGTCAGCAGTTTTCCGTAATGTGTTTGCTATTGGGGTAATGCTGGTCTTGTTGAACGAGTTAGGAAGTACTCCCTCTGCTCCTGTCCTCTGAAAGAGATTGTAGAGAATTTGTATAATTTCTTCTTTAAATATTTATTAGACTTTAATCAGTGAACCCATTGCATCCTGTTCTTTTTTCTTTTTCAGCACGCTCCCGGCCCGTTCTCTTGTAGAGTATTTGAGGAGCCAAGGAAAGGTCAGAGTGGTAGAAGCACAGAGAGCAGAGAGGAGACTGGCTCCAAATATGAGGTAGAGCACCATCCTTTTGCTGGGGGTAGAGCAGTTGGGGAGGAGAGGGGAGATGGACAATAACTAGACTAACAATCAAGAGTTAATCACATCAGGAGGTGAGAAATGCTATGAAGAAAAATAAAAGTGGGCAGGACGGAGAGCGTGGTGGATAGGTAGGCTGCTCTTTTATTTATTTATTTATTTTTTTTTATTTTCAAATATATTTTATTGATTTTTTACAGAGAGGAAGGGAGAGGGATAGAGAGTTAGAAACATCGATGAGAGAGAAACATCGATCAGCT